GGTCAGTGCGTCTGCAGGGTGTCCAGTCCTGTCCTGGGGGGGGTCAGTGTGTCTGCAGGGTGTCCAGTCCTGTCCTGGGGGGTCAGTGTGTCTGCAGGGTGTCCAGTCCTGTCCTGGGGGGGTCAGTGAGTCTGCAGATAGCACCATGCCTGAACACTAAGAGCTGGAGGCACTTCAGGGCAGCAGCCATTCCCAGACTGTCCACACGGTGGCGCCATCCAGAGTCGGGGGGGGTGATGGCTGGTGCCCCAGTGGTATCGGGGTACAGGTGTACAGCCACCACAGCGCTCATCGAAAAACACAACCCGCGAGGACGATCCGAGGAGACAGCTTGCGGCCGGAATGTTATAATCTCACAGGACAGGCAGCAGAGAGCAGGCCTGGGATCAGAGGGGAACGGGCAGGTCCCTCTCTCCGATCGGGGTTCAGCCCAGCGCCGCAGGGAGAACTCACCTCCGGCCGGTCCCGGTGCGTGTTGACCGCTTCAACGTTCAGGGAAATGGACTCCACTCGGCAGCCTGCAGGACACAGGAGAGAGCAGGGGGGGGTCACACAGGGGTCACGAGCAATGCCCGTCAGCATTTAAAACAGGGAAGAGCAGGTTCGGTCCCCAGCCAATCAAAGAACAAGCCAGAATAACAGCATGATGGACCACAGAGGTTCTGTCGGGGATAACTCAACATTATGAGCACGTATTGGAAAACTGGTCATCGCTGCACAGAGCCTAGCGCACAAGTATCCTGACGGAGTCAGCTCTGAAACTGACAGAAGTGAAGGAATCCCGAAAGGGGAAGCTGGCAGGAAACCAGGCTCAGGAACAAGGAACCAGCGGCTTGGCCACGAATTTCAGCAGGTGGGCGCAGTACCAGCACTGTCCACACGAGGGAGCTCAACACTCTCTCTTTCTCTCTCTTCAATTCAAGGAGCTTCATTGGCATGACCATTGAATAAATCAGTGCTGCCAAAGCATATACAGTTAACATAAGACCTACAGACACAACATAATACATTTACAAGCAAACATATGGAGCATTACTGAGAGACAGGCTCACTGTCTGTTCCTCAGTCTGTGACGGGAGATCACACACTGAGCTGCCAGTTCAGCCGAGTTCCCTCCTCCCTCTCCCAGTAGGATTGGGAGGTGTTGTGATTATGGTAGGAGTGGGAATTCTGGGACTAGATTTGTAAATTTAGGGAATAATGTTTCTCTAATTCCAGAGTATCTGTCACAGTGCAGTAGGAAGCACACCTCTGTCTCTGTTTCTCCCCGTTGGCAGTGGGACCACAGCCTGTCCTCTCTGGGCAGCCAGGTCTGCCTGGTCATCCAGTTTCTATGGCCAAGCTGTGGTCACTGAGCCTGTTCTTCATTAGGGACTGTTTCTTTTTGCTGTTTCCTTCCTTGGTCATTGTTTTCTCTCTCTCTCACAAACACACACACACACACACACCAGCCCCCTCCACCCTCGAATCCAATTACACTGCAGAAAACTGCAGCAATGCAGGTGTAACTTGGCCAAGTCAGCACTGTCAGAAAGACAGGCCATCTGCTCGGGCTACCGCTGGGTTCCAGCATCGCTGCTCAGGTGCGAGCAGTCTGCGTCAGGCCCTGCGCGGCGCCCTCAGGCCTGTTGCCCCAGCAGAGACGCACTCCTCTTACCGTATGCCACAGGCGTGAGCTTCAGAACGGTGTGCAGGGGGCACTTCAGGTAAGGCAGCTCGTCTGCAGGACAGAGAGAGAGAGATGGACACCAGTGAGATGGTGCGGCAAGATCGGCTCGGACCGTGCTCCCCAGCCTGTCTCCACCCCTCACCTGCGGACTTGTCCAGGAAGTAGGCCAGCAGGCAGCGCATGACGGCCTGGTGGCAGATGACCAGCACGTTCTCCTGCCGCTCCAGCTCCATGATGACCGGCTCCAGCCGCTGGACCAGGTCCTCGTAGGACTGCAGGGACACGCAGAGCGGTCAGTCAGGACACAGGCACGCACACACACTGCTGTGCACCAGGTCCTCACAGGACTGCAGGGACACGCAG